GCGAGTGACAGTTACCTTTTGCCTCCTCCTCCTCCTCCTCCTCCTCCTCCTGTTCTCGGTTTCGTTACACTGTCGGGTCTCCGGGGAGGAAAAGTTCGGTCTATATTGAAGCTGAAGCTCGAGACTTTGCTACAAGACAATGTACATCCATACTGACACCGAGATTTAAGCTGCCTGTGGAAAAAAAACCAAGCAATGCAGAAGGTATTGATCTGGACAAGTTGATTTTTTTGTGTGGAATGGGTATTGGTGACGACTGGGAGCTTTATCATTGTGTACAAATATGTGTGTTGATTTTTCTGATCTCCGCTCAGAATGGATGAATGGTCTTCTCGAGTTGTCATAACAACTGAGAGCCGCCATAATTGTGTGAATGTGAGCAGGAATCAAAGTAGGAGACAAAATGGCAGATGTGAGAGCAGAAGAAGAAACCCGCCACAGCTGGATATCACCCGAACGCACACAGTACAGACTCTGTGTCATTATACAAACTGTAAATACAGCCTCAAGTTTCACTGAAAGTGAACTGAGAAATCCAGTGATTGAATTTGCAGAGTGTGGTTCACACCTGCAGTCACACACAATGTGTTGTTTCTTTAATGGATCCTTTCAGGGCTAAAATCTAAATCTAGTTATATTTAATTCCAGAGTTAGAAATGAGAAAGTTAGACATCGTGGCTCTCTGCTGAGATCGATTCAGATTCAGACTTCATATTTTACCTGAAATTACATTCAATTTCACACCTTCACCTTTGACAAATGATAGTTTTCCTCACGTCTCTGTACAATAAATAAAAGAGAATGTCACTCAGTAGAGCACACAGCACAGCCGAGGCCCAGCAGCCCCCTTAAAGCAGCACTGGGTAGGTTTTTATACCTTTTTTAAAATGGAGTAGACGGGGGTTGAACGTTACGACCTGCTTTACAGACCAACAACCAGCTTTCTTCCCCATCAGCTTGTCAAGAAATGTATGTGGGCACCGCCGTGTACTCAGACCGCGACACGGGAGCTAATCCTGCATTGTGTTGCTTTAAATTCAATCAAGAGACAACAGATTTCCCACATTCATAGAATATCAGTCGCTGAAATACTTCATTTTCTTCATCAAGATCCATGAATTATTCCTTTGGGGAGAAACTAGTGAAAATGTCAAAGTGCCCTCTCTCACAATCCACTCCATTGTTAGGATCTGTGCAAAATTTGAATGGGTTCTTTCTTTTTTCCTTTTACCAAGTTTCATGAAAATCCTTTTAGTAGCTTTTTGAGAAATCCTACAAACAGGGGTGAAAACATAACCTCTTTGGTGGTCAGAATATTGTTTCTCACCTCAGTCAGATCACGCTGGCCTCTCACATCTTTTTATTTATTTTTTAAATCTCCTCATTCATAAATGAATTTGAATGAAGCCTTTTGAGAAATCCTGCAGAAAAACCAGCGGACAGGGGTGAAAACATAACCTCTTTGGTAGCGGAATATATATATAAAAAATTTAAAAAAGTCCTAATATCGTTTCTAACCTCAGTCAGATCACGCTGGCTCTCTCATCTTTTTATTTATGTCTTCATTCATAAATCACTATAAGCTCTTTGAGACTAACCTACATCGTGCCCTGCAGGAATATCAACACGGCAGACCAGAGAGGAGAGGTGGCACCGGTCTCTGCTGAAATATAAATACATTTGAAGTAAGCAGTTTCCTGTTACGCTTAATTATAACATACACTAGTTTATTCTAGTCACTTTTTCCCCGTGTTTAGTTTAGTCAGCTGTGTGAAATGTTCTACACGTGAACTCGCCTGCCTGCCGGGTTTGCTGCTTTGAATAAGAATTGTTTGTAGATTTATTCCATTCAAGGTCGGCAACAGCATGAATATTTTGTTTTTTTGGGTAAAAACAATATCTTCAGGTTCAGTCAAAGCCGAGTGAAAAACCGAGCTAAGATAAATAATTGTCGATAAATCACGGGACAAGGAATCTCATCAAGATTTGCAACAAATTAAATCTTCTCTTCTTGCGTCTGAGACCTTTGAGTGGTAAACATCAGAGCTTCTCTAATCAAAGCTCACCTCGTTCCACCCACAGGGGAGGCTGCTCGGAGCCGCTGGTGGCATAAAAAAAAACTTATTTACAAGCTCAAGCTAATGAATCGTGACTGTATCTGCAGGACAAGTTTTTTGAACTGGTCTGGTAATTGCTCAATGAGCACAGTGCTTTTAAACATCATAATTATTGGTACACTACCTTGGGATCTGTTGTATTTTTGAAGCAGGACCACCTACTGTTGGAAGGGCAGAATTATTTTTCAGTTCTTTTTCCAATATTCGTTGAAAAACATCATCAATATTCCTAATTACTCAGACTGCAAATGCATAAATTATATTACTTTTTCACCCCTGCAGTTTGCTCTTTTGTGATGTCATTCCCTCCCATGCACAGGCTTTAAAAAAGGTTTTGGGGAGATTTGCTGTCTCATTGGTTTTTGGGACCATTTTTACTGAATTTTCTGACCTCAGAGTTGGAACAAAGTCACCGGTCAGACTCACAAACACAACCAGAGGTGCTGCCTCTCATTCTGTCAGAGCTGCTCTCTCCACGCTGCAGTGAAGCGCTCATTCTCACCACGTAATTGACATGGACGTATCCGGGAAAAGACGCGCTGACATTTGGTAATGAATTGCACCACTCACACAGGTGATGAGTGTTAACCTTCAGGTGCGTGACCTCCCTTTGGTCTTTCAGAGGTGGCACCTTAAACCTGGGGTTCATAATTCAGACAGAATCTTTCTGAAGCAAATCAGTGTTTCAGTCATCGCTGAATTAAAAGTCTGTATTTAAAAAAAAAAAATCTAAATCATAATTAAAAAAGATTCAAAAGAAACCTGAGTCTCGAAACAGCAGCTTAAGTTTACAGTTCCATCACTTGCCAAACGGAGCTTAACCTTATTAAGAAAAACTGTGGACCAGTGATATTTTCAAAGTTCACTGGCAACATCTATCACTTCATAAAGTTGGTCGACTTGTTTACTTTCAGAGTGGATGAAGGCTACAGCTTCCTAAGTGCATTTGCTAGGTACACAAGACCCTGCCTCCATTTATAGAGTCTGTCCGTCTGTATGTGGAGGAAAATATCTGGAGAGTCTTAAAGGCCTAAGTGCAGCTTCACATTTGGTGCATTTTGGAAATGATGAATTGAAATTAAATTGAAAATAAATTAATAAACAATAACAACCTTAGCAGCAGAGGCGGCTGGGATTCGTTAAAGTGAGGAATACGATCCTCCCGTTCGGGATTGTCGGTAATGATCCAAGCTTCACCGAACTTTGAATTATCAGGTGAACAGCTCTTCTGCTCTGGCTTCAGGCTTCTGTAGAACGGGCACTGCACCGGTAAACCACAATGAAAGACAATCACATCGCACAACTTAAAACTGCCATTCAGCTTGTTAGCTTGCACACTAATGAACTAATCAATCAGTGTGCTTTGTGTGCGACGCCTTTAGCTCTTTGTGTTGTGTCTCATCACAACACTGCAGTGCCATTCTTTTTCAAATGGCAAGATTGGATAATGATGCATCCGTGCACCGCAGTGTGGGAGTGTGTTCAGGATTTCAAACTAAATATGATATCGAGCTGTTATCAAGCTGCACCTCTAAATATCGGTGCACATAAAATAAGGTGAGAGTTGAGCCAATGCTTTAGCTTGAGATGCAAAATGGTGTTATGGTCGAACTGGCTAAGGACACAACACTGTCTCCACAAGATGTTTAACCTTGGTACACACACACACATTGTGTTGAAAGCACGCGTTAATAATAAGGTTGTGAAGCTGCTACTCACTGGACTTGTGCACAAAGTGCTGTGAACTGCATGAGACTAATTGGTGTTTGTGCCATCACCTTGTCTAAACTGGCCGCGCAGTTGAAGCAGCAGCAGCAGCAGCAGCAGCAGCAGCAGCAGCAGCAGCCGCCGTCCTTCCTCAGTATCTGCACCGGATGCGTTCAGCCATGTCACTGCTGTGGACTCAAGACCTCTCAGCCCAATACAGGAGCGTATCTGTTTGCGTAAGCGATAAGCGAGAGTGGTGGAAGTGTTGACAAAGGCGTCAGGTCACGGTTACGTTCTGTATGTAAAGTGTGAGCGAGGCACAGGCAGATACACAGCTGGTGTAGCCGGCTGCCAGAGTTGAAATGCAAACAGATGCTTGGGAAGAGTGGAGAGTGAAGATATGTTTACACTACAGAGAGAGAGAGAGAGAGAGGTCAGCTGCTTCAGCTTATTTCACACAATTCCTATAATTAAAACCTATATGAGTAGTCAAGTCCTCACACCTGAAACCACTCCTACACTTGGACTCGGTTCATGTACAACTGCAGACCTCTGCCCTTTTACTGAATTACATTTTGTTTTGTGCACGACTGAATCATATTCGGCAGTAAATTACTTTGATGGATTTACAGCATTTGTGAGTTAGGATATAAACCTGTGAAGGCATCCCCTTCAAACACAGTTTTAGTTTTACATCAGCTTGTCTAAGTGCATTTTATAAAGTGTTTGGCCTTGAGAAGGGCTAATGGTTGTTCCTGACGAGAGAGACAACAAATAGTTCTGTATTAGAACCATTCAACTTACTAAGATGTACTGAATTGTTTGGGTCTGTCTATGTTTCTAAAGAGACCCGACCAAGATGAGTCAGTTTATAGTCTGATGTCTGAAAACACTTTTGGCACTTTTTGTTTGGGATGTAAGTTTTTTTTTTAACATTTGAAATGTTGGTCTCATTCTGCTTTTGAGAAATAAACGTTGGTTATGTGAAGTGATCAGAAGATGCTGCGACACACGGACGTAACCGCAGAAAAACCTTGGAGCAAAACTGTTTATAATCACTTGGAACGATTTAATTTTCCTCAACTCCAATTTCTTTTTAAGGATGGTTTTTAAAATGAGAGGAAATCCAATTAAGTACCATGAAAAATATTGCAACAGCTGGGCTCTGTTATAACATCATGTTTTAATATCAATTTATCTACAAAATCTTTACTGACACCACTTTATTCTGGTCTTCATGGAAAGTGCACTGTCACCGAAGCAAAGAAACATATAAAAATTACAAACAAACATACTGTACCATATTTTTTTTTAACCATAAAATGTCCATTGATTTCTGTTTGGCATTGGTACTTACAGTATAAATGAGCAGAATCATATTGAAACAGGATGGTTCAACTTTATGCGGTGGTATCTGAAATTCTACTGTTGAACTGGTTAGAGTTTGTTCTTGAGAAACAGTTTTGCGCATTGTCTTGCCGATCCACCTCATTTTAATATAATATAGCACTGAAGTTAGTTGCCACAAAACAAAAACCAAAAACAACCCAGATAAGTACATTCGTCAGCTGTCCACAGCTGGTCCCCTCCCGATTAACCAAACAGTTTGGTAATCCACAGAGACAGAGAACAACTCTAAACCACCATGGGCACAATTCGCATGTCCCTTCGTTCTCTTCGAGCCATCGACAGTCCAGATATCCCTTCCAGTAGCTGTTAACTGCACAGCTTGGTGGTCTCGTAATCCATAGAATTGGGCAGACGTGAGCTGAAGGCCTGTAAGGAGGTATGGATGCGCACCACCTCGCTGGGAGTCAGTTTGAGTCGGTGCCGGAGCAGACAAGCAAACAGGTCCAACCTCTGTTGACCCGGAGGCGACAGGCGGTTCACCCTGTCTCGTATCTCCAGGAGCTGAAGCATGGCTGTGTCCTGGGAGCCCTGCGTGTACGGGTAGTCCAGCTGGAGAATCAGGTCACGGATCGCTTCTGGGTCAAAGTGCATGCTGTAGCCAAAGACCTGGATGCTGTTGATTTTCATGTAGCCCAGGTTCCGAGCAGGATCCGTCATTTCCATAGGCTCGTAGTAAACGCTATCATTCACTCCGTCTTGAGTCTTTATCCTGCTCCGAAGGTAGATGTGAATGGTTTCAAAGAAGGTCTTCCATTTGTTGCCCAATGTCAATGTCCAGTTATAGCACTCGAAGGGTAGGTCCAGCTTCTTGGCCTGCCAGTCAGGGAAACTGTTCTCGTTGACAGGGATGTACCAGCTCTCTGAGTGGCTCCCTCCAAAGGGGTTGATGTAGAGAGTCAGGACAGGCTCCAGGGTGCTGTTCTTAGTAAGGCAGATCTGGAGGGATACTCCCAGCAGCATGTGGACCATGTTGGACTTATACTTGTTGCTCTTCAGTGTCAGCAACATCCTCTTCCTCCACGATGGGTCGAACCAGCTGTTGAGTCGCATGTCATTGCTGATGAAGATGGCGTGGACCTGACAGAGAGCAGACAGGAGGAGGAACCCATTAACTTCTGGAGCAGATTCAATAAAAGTGGCTGATCCAGGATTCTTTTTCAATTTCTTTAACATTTCGAGATCAGGACAAGTTAGCCTTGGTTAAAGGTTGCGCTCATCGTGTTCCCCTCTAGTTTATTTATAGAAACTCTTTACACTAATGAAGGACACAAGATGCATCAAGCAGCAGTTCTCTCTAAAATCAAGAATGATCTATCAAGCTCAACTATTTTGATTAATATTAACTCGTATTACGTTGTTCTGAGATTAAATCTGGTTTTGTTGTCTCAAGCATCGTTGGATGTCTGCTTGAAAAGGCACGCCACCATATATCACGTACAGTTTAAATCACGCCAAAGTCTGAATTGTATTTTTTATAATATTCTGCTTTTCTAACCCTGCAAATGTACAGAACATCTAAAACAGTGTACAACACAGGAAAAAAACTAGGGGAAAGTATAAAGTTGCTCAGTAGCCAGAAGGGCAAGACTTTGTAATGCTGAGTGGCTCCCATGAGTAAACGTATGCACCCCGGGCTACTGCTGTGAAAGACAGCTCAGCTCCTGACATGATTAAACAAAGGCTAAAAGAAAAATACCTCTAGCCTGCGGTCAGCTCTCTGCAGGAGGTAGCCCAGCTCCAAGTCCTGGAGGTCGGTCTCGAATCCCAGGTAGTTCTCCGTGGAGTCCGCCACCATCGGCCTGCAGACCCCCTGCGTCAAGCCAAAGCCAAGGTTGCAGCTCCCGCAGCGGGTGTGGTTGTCTGTTGCACACGTTGCACACGCCGAGCCTTCCCCAACAGTGCAGGGCGGAGGCAGCTGACACGGGCTGTGTTCGTATCTGCAACTGCAGCTGTGGAGCTCCTCGGAGAATGCACCAAGCTGGTTACTCTCTGAGCAATACAGGAGAGACTGGAAATGACTGAGCCAGTAGGACTGAGGTCTGAACCAGGGAAGAGAGATAAACAGAAGATGGAGAGAAAGACAAGCAGAGAGAGGGAGAGAGGTTATTGGACAGGACTTATGGGTTTAACTCATTTAATAAGAAGCAACTTTATTCGGTCCAGGGAACCTGCAGACAGCTTGCTCATAAAAAAAATGTCAACATTCTCAAACTCAAGCTCAAACTTTAAATGTTTGAATATTTGACGTTTTTTAACCAAGTAAATTATCCATCAGGAAAATAACCTTGAGATTGTTGTCGAGAATAATTCATTGGAACTTTTCTTTCTTTAGGATTATTTGTTTGCAGGAATACGTTCACATTATCAAGTGAGGTTTGCCTGAGATACTTGCTGAGTATTTCCTGTGCTGGTGTTGCCTTCAAGTGCCTGATGATGAGTGTAGGATAAACATGCAGATGATATAGGCACAAACATTGGTGTTTGACAAGGAAGAGGAAGCCAGAGACGGGATGCAGAGAGAAAGTTGTCTTTGATCAGTCTGCGACATTAATATTAGAAGTGCACTGCAGCTGCTGGGCAACTTGCTCTCAGACATGCATACTGTATAATTCCCCCTTGTGAGCTGGAGTTTGATTCCCGTCTGTGGCACTTTCTTGACTGTGATCCCTTTATGCCTCTTATCCTCTTTGCTTGCTGAGGAGAAGAAATGCACAGTGCATACCGCTGGCTTCCCTTTCAGAAAAAAAAGAAGAAGCTTTTTCTTTGATGGAGGTGTATTGTGGTAAACTTTATGCTAATCTGAAAATGTTAGGGGGATTACATTCGGGGCATCCTTCCTCTGTGTCCCCATCTCATTGTTACTCGCTTGTGGGAATCGACTCTGAGTTCAGAAAATCACTGATTTGAATATCAAAACCTTCTAATGGAAAAAGCAGTCATGGGAAGTGAACCGAAAATGGCACTTCCTTTCCATCACCCCGCTACCTGTGGGCACAGCAATTCACCTCCGACAGCGACAGCAGGGCAAAGCGGTCGCCAAGACAAGCCTGCAGTTGTGCTGTTAGTTCCCCGGTGTGATTATGAACAGTCTTTCTGCTCCCCGCAAGTCTGCTACCAAACCAGCGCTGTAAATCACAGGGCCGTCTAACTCCAGCGTTGAAGGAGCAAGAAACTCTGTTTGGAAGGAAAATATAGTTGAACCCTGGAAGTTTGACGGGCTGAAGATTTGTGGAATTTAAGATTAAACCCACATCGGATTCCCTGACACAAGACCAGCGCCGAGTTCAACTTATAAGGTTTTGACTGAAGTAAAGAAAAAACACCCTCACATTACACTTGTGATTTTTTCTTAGCATGCCACTCTCAATCCATTGGCACAAATCTGCCACTACAGCAGCCGGCGTTCCTCTGACACCTTCCACTAGATTTTGAAACTTAGCTGAAGAGATTAGCTCCCATGCAGCTGCACGTGCATTAATGAGGTGAAACCCAGATTCGGTGATCAGTCGTAGTTCCACTTTATCCCAAGGCTGTCGTCAGGGATGATTTTCAGGTCAGTCAACTTCTTTGACTCCAAACTGGGAAAAGTATAAATACAGTAACGCCCAAATACTGTTGGCCAAGAGTAAGACCTCTAATCTAATTTTGTTTGCACATTTCCTGCTTTGGTCTTGCACTCTTTACTCCATTTATTTATTTTTTTGTTTTTCTGATTGTGCATATGGACGAGGAAATACACTAATTGAGAAATATTAAATCAAACCACATTGCAATACTTTATACTTTCACTCATAATTGCAGTGAAGACTTTACTTAAAGAAGCAAAGTAATGCTTATTTCAAGAACGCATCTTGTTAAAAGACCAGTGTGCAGGATTTAGGAGCCTCTACCTGTAATAGAATAGTATAATTACATTGGTATACAAACACTGGACACTAATGTTATAAGCTAATTGTACAACTCGCACCATTTCTACAGTAGCCAATGAAAGAAGAGAAGATTTCTGCATCTTTATTTTACCTGAAGGCCTCGGTACCTTCTCTTACACCTTGGGAAAGGGAGAGGTATTGCAATATGTAACCTCACCTCTAGATGGCACTACATTCTACACGATGGTCCTTTAACCCCTATGTTCTCTCAGACGTACTGTCCATATGAAAATATATAATATTGTTATAAAATATTTATAACCAATCAAGTAGTAAAGAAAAAATATGAAGAGTGTAAAGGGAGAAAAGGCCACACACACATATATATATATATATATACTATCTCCCCCTCTGGCCATCCCTCTGCCTAGCTGGAGTTAATGTGACTGAAGCAGTGTGAGGCTGTAAAGATGAAATTGGTCTGGATGCCTTGACAAGTTCATTACAAACCTATCTAACATTTTTAGGGTTACGTCTTAATTGCACTGTCTCAGTCGTCAGACAAAGATGAGCGGTCTGTGCACCACTCACCATCTTTCTGTGAAGTTAAAAATAAACCTGATTCCCTTTTTTTAAGAAGAAGAGTATGATTAAGAAGAGGTGTTTTGTTATCGAATTAAAGCAGAGGAAGTGAAAACCCCTCTTAAATGACAATGTGGAGGATTTTGCCAAGTGTGCTGTGTATGTTTTATCATTACAGGCCTAATAAAATCCAAGCTGCCTGCTAACTCCACTGTCTTATTCCCTCATAATTGTCAGCATGGATGAAAAGGATGCCTAGGAGAGGTGGGGGGCGGGGGGGTTCAGTGTTTCCACTTCTCCCTTAGACGAACGAACAAATCTGCCGTTCTCACTCAGAGATTTCTATGAAGACAGAAAAGAATGAAAAGCTTCACAGTTAATGCTGCGGTAATAAAAATAGATAAACACTCCACGGTCGGGGATGATGACGATCCCATTCCTTCTCCACGCATGAGGGCGGGAAGATCAGCCGCGCAGATCAATGATTAATGTGTGTTTTTGCGTGAAGAGTTAAAGGAAGAGGTGAACTGAGACAGAGGAACAGAGAGAGGGACTGGACATTGAACAGAGTCCACTGTATAGATTCATCTGCCGGTTGATTTATGTGTTGTGCTCTGTGGCGTCACTGCCATTACTGCGGTGGCTCCGTCAAACTTAACGCGCTGTGACTGACAGTGATGGTTGGATTCATCACCGTCAGCGGTCGCACTGTTTGACAGATGGAGGCAGACTCCTTTTCTGTTTTTGTTTTTCTGGTGATTTGTTGATTTGAGACAAAGTTAAACCCAAATCCATCGAGAGGTTAAAGGACTATGACGCAAGATCCAATCAAATAAAAAACAACAATTAAACCATTCACACTGTACGCTGATAATGACCTCATTACATTTCATTACGTGTATGAGAAGTGTGTGTTGGAACAGGAAGAAATTGGTATGTGTCAAAAACTAAAAAATATATGAGTGAAATGACGTATAAGAGTGTTAAGAATGTTTTTGTTTCTAAAGTCAGAAATATGTTGGATGAATTTGTTTTATACGTTTAGCAAAACTCTATAAAAGAAACGTGGAGACGTAACAAAATGTCATTACTTTTATAATTTATCACGGTTAACTGACATTCACAACCTTTTAGCTCAAGCTGTAAAGACTTTAGTGATATGAAGATACTCAAAGAAATAACGTTTAAAAAGAAAAATACCAATGGTGGACCATTTTGAGAGCAAAGCTCAAAAGATTTTTAAAAAAGTCTGATTTTGAAGTTTATGAATAATATACCAAAACCACCATTAAAGGGGAGTTTCTTCCTTTGAAGCCATCAAACCGATGCGGAAAACTCTGTTTTCAGAGGGATTTGAGAGGATGTCATGGAGATGAAGCCCATTTAAATGAAATTAGGTTTTCATGATTTTGTGTAAAGATTTAATGTGGATTTCTTTTGAAGATTACTTTTATAGCAGCAAAGACAAAGACAAGAGTTTATTCTAAATGTGTTTGTGTAAAAGCAGACGTCTCACTTGTTTTACTGACATTGTGATGACTGCATTCCAGCTTTTAGCAGGATGAACACATTCTGTGGTGAAAGCTGTACAAAAGAGATTAAATGTGAAATCCTTTTGCAAACACTGCCATTGTTGCGGTGGCATTTCTCCTGTGTACACGTTGCAATAACCCAACAGCTTGTTTACCTCCACCTACGTCCCTGGATTAGTCTGAGAGAACTGCAGGCTATGACTCGAAGTAGAGTAGCAATGGGCGAAAAATCCCAGAACTTTGCTTCTCCTGCAGGAATGAGGGAATTTACTAAAAGAAAATGAGATGTCTTAATTACCCTGGAAAGTTTCCTTCGAATATGAACACATATAAAAAGTAGATAAGATTCAGATGTGGATAATTGAAATGTAGGTTTCGGGGGGTTTGCGCTTACCGGTCTCTTGGTAATCGAACTTGTGGCTGTTTGTGACATCTTTTACTGAGACTGAAGAGCTTGAAGATCACCCTCTGCGCTCGTCTGGAGAGGACCCGCATGCTGTTCTCCAGCTGCTCGTATCGCCACTGGAACAAACTGTCCAGGGACCACAGATGCTGGATGCTCGACTCGTTGAGGAAATAGTTCTGGGGCAGCCTTGCATAGAACGCCTTGAATTCATCTGTGACGACAAAAAGACGGATAACAGAAATTTAAGGCCAATGTGACAATAGCACATTTATTCCAAGGAGGATTTTTAGCATCAACTATTACCAATGACAAATGTGGTTTTATGATGCTGGTTTACAACCACAGGTGGTGAATTGGAGCCTCCAACTGTAGCTTAGTAAAAGTAAAATAGCAAGAACTGAAATCACCAAAACAAACAATCAAATTTAGACATATGCACTGGAGCCTTTGGTCTGATTCTGTTGCAAACCCCTGGAACATCTGTCGGCATTGAGGTGATCGTCCACATTGGTGCTGCGTGCAGTTCCAATGCAGAAGAGCCTGCAGCCCACTCTCCTCGTCTGCTATCTAACCTCTGCACGGACCGGTACAGTGCCCTGTGTGCTTTGAGGCCAGCGAGGGGAGCGTGCATGGTTGCAGAAAGTACATTAGGGACATCGAGGAGGGGGATTGAGCCGCTGAGTCAAATGTGGTGAAGGCTAGTGTTCTGTCACCACCAGACCATGTGGCGTTTTGAATGGGATTGTTTTGGGACTGCAGACGAGAGACCGGCCGTGGCATGACTGTGGAGTATATGGGGAAATTATGCTGGAAATATGCTTTGCCTGGGCAGCAGCAGCTTATCCTCCTCTCTTTTGAGCTCTGACTCCAGGCGGTAGATTTCATCCCTTAACTGTGAGTAAGCGAGTTTTGCAGTCCACACAGCCGTAATAACAGCTGTTCCTCAGTCCAAGTGTTACCCATAAAACAACAGGACTGATAAAAATGGAAGAACAGAAACAGCAAGATAGAAGTAATCCAAAGATTGGTTGAAAATAATTTAAAGAGATTAAAAGATGAAAAAGAAGGTAAACTCAAATATTCTAAAGTTGGATGGTGGGTCAGGTCGGGCCGAGCTGGAGAATGAGCTGAAATCACAGGAAGTACCTGGAAAAAGGCTAATGCTAATTTAGGCTTTGATATTTTCACAGTATTTAAATATATCACCCAGACCTGCTTTATTATAAAATGAAGATATGTAAATATGAATATAAGATATCTAAATCTCACTATAGATACAACACAGAACCTTTCATCCATTCAACCTGCTCACAATGATTCATCTCAAAATCATGAAAAATTAGCTTTTTATATATTTTGACCAAACGAAAATCTAAACTGGGTTGTAACCTTGTTTTTAAATATCTATAAATACTATATAATACGTGATTTGGAACAAATAGAGAGGTATTATATTGAAGAACAGGTCTAATAATGGCCAAGTTTACCATGTTACTAATAAATGTGCCTAACTTTGATTTTCCAGTCCTAAACGTTCACATCCTGCAGGAGCTTTTTCATGGGTCTTGATCTTGTCACATATTTACCAATCAATGATGACCACCCAAAACCGGATACCTTGACAAGGATCATTTCAAAGCTCCATTAAACAATTGATAGCTGCACACTGGATTGTGTTATAGACACCAGAGGATGCAGCAGAGGACACAGGAGGCTGCCTCGCTTTCACTCGAAGGAGCCTTTGAAATTGAAGACCTTGGCAGACGGTTTTATTTGGGCTGGAAATGTGGACTTTGTAGGAGCTGAACTGGGACACGGCATCTGGCAGGTGCAATTTTAAAGATCACTTCTAGCAATTTGATCATATTCAGCAAAGCAAAAAGGAAATCAAAGGGTACGAGAATGTCACTTAAGAAAGTAGAAGATGAGAGACGGTCTATTTTTGCTGCAGGAAGCCAAATGTTTTATGGGAACTGTGGTTTCATCTTGAAAAACACCGGCGCTGTGAGAATGAGCTTCACCAAGGTATCATAAACATTTACTGACTCATCATCGTCAGGTTTTAAATGCTATATATTGCATCACTGTTAGTTTTATTACTGCAAATGCTTCTTTTATAATATATATTACTGCAATTCCTATTCCTGCCTTTGGAGGGTTCGGTTGGAAAAACTTTATCTCTTTTCATCCAATCACAACCTGACGCTCTCAACTTGAGCCAATCACCTGTAAGGTTCCAAATGTTCCCTCTGTCCCGTGTCGTTCAGCCGTCGATAGCTGACTCACCTCCACTGCTACATCACTTCAACTCAGGGTCACCTCCCTTCCAATCAGAAGCCATTCATGAGATGCTCCTACTTCATTTACTCGTCCTTATTTGCTTCTTAATAATAAGTCTCTTCTGATTGAAATAAAGAATCGACTGCCTTGAACATTATTATCTCCTTAAAGACGAACCACCTTTATTCACTGATCTTTATTCTTGTCCTTCCACAATTCTATCCTCTATTTTCTCATCATTCATACTAAATGTATGTAGAATGTCTTTAGCGATTATGATGTTTCTTGCATAGTCTTCACTTTGCCGTTCATATAAAATGGTGTTGTATTATTTTATCCGTCGTTGTTTTTAGGTTTTGTTTTGTATAATTAATGTATTTGATTTGGATTCATTTAGCTTGTTGTTGTCCTATTCTTCTGCTGATAAAGCAGCAAATGTAGAAATCAGTGGAAGGACACGTCTATGGAATTGCAGATAGCAGCATTGTGAGCACAAGCTTGCTCTCATTTCACACCCAGCGATGGAAATATTGAGAGCAATTCCACTCTGGGATATTTCAGCCAAATCTGTCGAATTGAGTAAAAAAAGATGCGCCCGTTAATATTTCACCTGAGTAATAAGAAGCGAAGCAGGGTGACCGAGTGCAGCAATGACAACCAAACATTATGCTAAGAGCTTCCATTCAAACTCTGCCTCCTTGGTGATGTTAAAAGCTGGACCACCAATAAATGGGTTTTATTGCTGATTAATCTGCTGCAGACATATTGTAAACTACCTGAGCTGGAAGCTGTTGAAATTTTTAATCCCGTTCTGTCGCCTTTTAATTTGCTATTTTCAGATGTTGTGCCAGAACCCAGGGCTGACAACCACCTATTATAGTTCACCTATAAATCATAGATTAGGGAGAAACATGCATATAGGATCCACCTCCTCCTCCTCAGATTTAACGGTGGAGATAAAACACTTGAATTCATCCTCTCTCCCTCTCTTATGTATGATTTATACTCTATATTTAGATTTTTCTGGATTTAGTATGAGCTAAGGAAGCACTTCTTCCTACCCGATTCCTCAAACTCTTTATAGAGAATCCCCCACGTCTCTGTGATCCTCTCCAGACTCTCCTCCATGGCCTGGATGTCCATGTAGGGGCAGTTGCATTCTGGGAACTTGGGGTCACAGCTGCACCAGCAGTCGTTGTCCTTGCACACAAATCCGCCTTCTCCATTGCAGGCTATGTAGCTGAGAGCAGCCTGCACGAAACTTTCCCTCAAGTAGTCCGGAAGGATCATCTGCAAGCCTGTCGAACAAAGCTGCGTTTAGTAACATCATCGTCATGTCACCGATGTTGATCCCATGTGTGAATACATATGAGAATCACAACAGAAGGAGAAGTAGTTGTACAAACCTTGCAGCTGGACTTTATTTTCAGGACTCTGAACCAGCACGGAGCTGACGGAGTCAAGGTTGTCATAGTTACTGCATCCGAGAGGACCTGTGCGGGTCTCCGTCACCTGGGAGACAACAAATAAAATTAATCTCATCCACGTTTTCTCCACAGATTTCACAACCGTCCCCTGGTTGAATTGTTTCTTTATTTAAAATAGATTTTATAGGGGAGACAAAGGAATGATTCCTTGTGCAACGGTAACAGTTTGTTCTATATTCTGTGTAAATGACGTCACTTCTACTAAATCAACTGTTGAAAGAAACAGAAAAGCGAACTCCATTTATGTGGATTCTTCTTCTGCAGTCATATTTCGTGCCACACAACGTTTCCTTCTTTGTCTCGTCGCTGATTGAAGACGTTTCGATTGACCTTTGTCACAAAGCAGCTCCAGCAAAGCATCCTTTTTACACTTCATTTGCAAGAGGAGATCTTATTTCAGCGCTCTGCTTTCTCCTGCTGTGACAAGGCGGGGAGCACCTGACCGATTCTCATTTTTCTCCCTTTGTGGTTGCGGGACACCATATTTTGTTCAGTGATTTGTCCTGGTCAGGCTTCTCAGGGGACAGTCGGTGCAAAGTGACAGATGGATGAGGCAGGACAGCGAGGGTCAGTCGATCAGTAACACAGTCGTAGAGGGCTGTGGGGCTCGGGAACTCGTTTGAAGCCGGTGCTGCGGTGAAGTGCAGACCCAGTGTGGGGGCTCTTTAATCAAAAACATGATCCAGAGGAAAGAGGCTGGTGAGAAGAAGAATAAATATCCTCCATGAATGAGGAAAATGGAAAAGAATGACGATAATTTGAGCGCAATTGTTCAACTGTAATATTTATATCACATTATATCCCTCGTGTCTCTCATGAGGGATTTTAATGTTGCTGTAAATGTGAGGAAATGAGATACAACCCTCTGAATACAGATTTCATATAAGGAATTATTTGATAGCGCCATATGATACGCCGTATGGCAGAAATATTGACTGATGAGCAGAGCTTTCAATTTCCGCTTTGCTTAGCAGCTGTTGTTCACTGTAGATACATTCGGGTATATTAAAAAATACTTAATAGGACGTTATTGGACACCTGTATCGTGGCACATGGCCGTGTGAGGGAACGAGGCCAAGCCTGCAGCTCCATCTGAGATTTCTCTGTTAAATTATCTTTAATCTTAACTCTGCTTTAAAGAAACACAATATTTTAACCTTAAGAAAAGCTGCTTGATTAAAATGAGTTTGATGGTTGAGTGGGTGTGAACACGGAGAATGTTTCCTCTTTCACTCCTTGAGCGTCTGTTCTATGTAACTCTGGTGAGTGGGTTCCATCTCCTGTGAGAGAAACTGACTGAGAGTCACATCTTCGACCGTGAGAATCAGGCCTGGCCCGTTAAAAACACTTAGTTTAGGTTCAAGAAGCCGGGGATCATGGGTAATATCAACCGAATCAAACATCCTGGTGTGGCTGCAGGGGGCGCTGTTGTTTAGTTGGAGTTACATAGTGGTGCTTTAAGTATTTTATCATCTTATTAATTCACACAAACAGAAGAGTGACTGCGAGATATGCACGAGAGGCAGAGAGAAAGTTCTTTTCTGCAGCAGATGAGTCATATTTAAAAAATCTTCAGATACCAGAAATATGCTACAGAAATCAATGAAGAAAGGTTTTATTGAGGTAACGGCTGTTTAGTCCAGACGACAATCGATTGAGTTGTGACAGAGAACACAAAAATACATTTCTCCTCCATAACGACAACACAAAACAATCAAGTGGTCGTTCACAGGAAGAAAATAAGAAGCCTGAGGTTCCTGCAGTTCCCTCATTCAAATCTGTCGCTTTGTTCATCAGCGTGCGGACGGACAGGAAATGATTTTGAAATGACATTGCCATCGATTGAGTCGAGGAAATTCTCAGATCGTAACAGAAATGACCCTCGTTCATCGATGATCCCTTTTTCCAACAACTGGTGTCATTACTCACAGAACAAGAGGCAAACAAACACGCCTTCGATCTCAGACTCTCAGCTGCACTGACTCCTTTAGGAAATCTGCAGACAATCCCTCAGCACGACAGTAACCGGCTTTTCCTCCAAAATGAGCTTCAATTTCCTTTTGCATGGCGACAGCAGGGGCTGGGGGTGTTTGCCTCGCCGGCCCTCTCCCGTTTATTCCCGTTTGATTTCGAAATTCATTCATTCAAAGTGCTTAGTTGCATCTGTTCCGCCTCTGTGTGGGTCGACGCCCTCTGGAAATGATGAGCAGAGGAATCTCTCCCTCCTTTTGACTCACTTTCTCCCCCCCCCCCCGTGATGGAGGTGAAACTCTCCTCTCTCCTCTTGCTGGCTGTCAGTTACGCCAGATGACTGCCTTCAGAGCATGAAAGCACTTTCTCTCCTACTCGCCTCCTTTCTGCAGCTATAAAAAAAAAAAAGAAAACCCTCTAATTCCCAAGAAATGGAACAGACAAAAGCATCTGCCTCTGCACCTCAGATATGCCCACACCTTAGCTGCAAAGGAAACACCCTCCCTGAACACAATGCACTGTAGTGAGAGGACAGAGCTTTGATATAAGGACAGGGAGTCTGATTCATGTTCTGCTGCAGTGGAAGAAGTCGCACATCACAAGTCGACTGTACGGAGGAATGAAAAAAGGCATAAAGGAGGGTCATCTTCTCCTCCGTCACCCCATTAACCCCGTGCAACCTGCAGGCGACAGCCGGAGGCAGAAACCTGACATGAGCCGTGTTTCACCACATTCATTTATCTTCTCTTCGCCATATGTGCTCATCACGTCGCTTACCCTAGACTCTGTGTGCTTCCAGGAGCTGGAGATCATATCTCATCACACGCAGGCTGATAAAAAGCATCATCTTCCACTTTATTACTCCTCGCTGTTGTGATTTTATTATCACAAGGACAGTGGTGACAATTGTGATAAACCACAAAAACCACGTGGTACAAGTTTAAATTGTAATTAAAATCGATTTCTTTGTTTTTTATGGAGGTAAATGAGACCAAGTGCAACATGTTTACATATCCCACAACCACTTGTGTGTTTTTATAACATACATGATGTTGATATCTGGATTTATTACGTTCTAACTGAAATATTATGACTGTGTATTTGGTCAATATCTATTTTTATTTTATATATTTGTATGATTTCTTGATGTGGCACCTTTCTGAACTGCAATGTCACAAACCAACAATACATCTGCAAGTATCATCATTATATAATGGCAGCACATATTAGAGAATCATGGTCAATAACGTAAAGTATTGCATTTTTCATTTACTCTCTATTATGTATAACTCAGGTTTTTCACTTTTTAACTGTGCAGTCTTAATTTCTGTCAGTGATTCTCACTGTCTGACTCACTGCACATATTCCGTCACTGTTCATATGCTGTTTTTTTTTTTTTTCCTATCTCCCACATTTAGAAGTATTATTACTTTACTGATGTCTATTTCTGACTGCCGTCTTGCTGCCGTCAGGTTGCAGATGTCCCCACTGTGGGTCGGATAAAAGATTATCTTATCTTATCTTATTGTGACAGTGTGCAGACAGTATTTCAATATTTCTTTATAAATAGCAGATAGAAAGTATGGGACAGAAAATCACATCACTTCTCCCAAAGGTAATTTTTATTTAATTCAGAGAAGGGTTTCTTAAGAAGCTTCTCTTGGCAGTGAGGTAAATCCTGACTATTAAAACCCAGAAATCATGAACCACGACTGCCAATGTTCAAGTTTACAATCACAGTCGAAATGTAAAGGGAGGAAAAGAAACGGGAGGTTTAATGTTATATTTTATGTAATTTCCTCTGCTGACAAAGGTTTGTCAATATTAGTCATACAAATACTTGTTTTTGGAGATAAATACTGATTGATTACCTCTATTCACATCCCACATTTGCCTTAATCTACTTCTTTGCATATTGTCCTAAAACAAAATTGTGAAGTATCTGCTGATCTTTAAAAGCTAATTGCCATTTATTTCCATCTGTGCTGGAGTACTGGAGACCTACATGCCTCTGAAACTATCTTTTTTATTTTTGCCCTGGTATTCTTCAATATGATAATTTGCAAAGTGTGTAGCTTAGCAACACAGGATAACAGTTTAAGAACCGACCACGGACGTTTAAGAATAGTTGTTGGAAAAAGCCAATGTTCTCCCTGATTGTCTCCTCGGTTGTTGTAAGTCACAAAGAGGCAACAATCAATTTTGAAATGAGATTGTTCATAACCACTAACCAGGACTATTAACCCTCTTGCTTTATGCCGTAAGGTTTTTATTCGCTGGGATGAATTGAGTTGGACTAGATTGATGAATGACGGAGAATCAAAGTAAACAGAATCTTTAAAAATCGGCGCTTTTGTCCTTGAGTGCGTCTCGAGAACAAAGGTGTTACCTTGATGGCGGTGGAGGCGATCTGGATGTGGTGCAGCTTGCGCAGCGTGCTCTCCCTGTCGATGAAGTAGGAGGCAGCCAGCTGGTGCAGAGCCTCCAGAGTCACGGCGGAGGAGTTACCAGAGTAATCGCTCACCTCCGCTTTCTTACTCAGCTTCCTCTTGTCCACAAATATCGTTAAGGCCTCCTCTCCTGCACAGGAAAAGGGGAGTGTGGTCACATTATCTGCTGCCATTAAATGCTTCGGAGTTCAAACTCACTCGTAGCCGCTCGAACGCTGAGCTGCACGTCTCTGAAAGAAAATCAAAGTGTAAATATCTTGAGTGATTTTCGGTGTTTCTCAGTAGCTTTGGTTCTAAGCACTCGATGCTGAGGTGTTCACACGATGCACTTCCCACAAATCAGGTGTGAACTTGCGTCAGATCTTTTTTACTTAGATTTTCCCGGCCTGATTTTTTATCTGGAACATTTTTCAAAGCAGCACTTTGCTCATTTTCTCTCAAATTCTATACAATTTAGCTCTTTTCCATAGTTTTTCAAAACGTGCCCTCTGCTCGGACACACAGTCGCTGAATCCCAGGTGGAAGCAGCTCAGCCGCAGCTCAGCCGGTGAAGCACAAAGATGTTTGACCTCAGTCGGGACGAGCCACATCACCCCTGTATCAGCAGCCACTGATCATAGCTATCAGCCCCTCATAAGAGCAGGGGCCTGGCTGCAGCACTCACTCTCTTTGCTTTGAGTGCACATCCTATTTCTCATCGTAATGCAGCGTTAATGCTTCAGGGCCATTTTTTCTGCCGACGGTCTGTCTTTCTTCCTCGGCTGCTGAAGGGCGGCCCCTTAATATCACAATCTATTTATTAATTTCATTAAGTCCATGTGTTTCTGAACACTGAGGCAATCCATTCAGAACCACAGAGGCACATCTCTGGCTACAATCCAAGACAAACTCCTCATTCTCCTCTTCCTAAGTGGCCGGGAGCCAGCATGCAGGGCTGCGTCGGCCCAGGCAGCCGGTGGGGTTTGCATTATATGCATCTACTCACACTAAACCTTTTCTAACCAACGAGTCAGGTCTGAAGTAATTGGCAAGTGTTGCTCTTTGAGAGAAAATCTGCTTTGGGCCTCTCTGGCATCTTAAATGAGTTTATTTTTTTCTCCGCTCCGAGGACCATTAATGCTCGTCCATTCATCACGCTGCAGAAAAAGGAAAATTGGGTTACTGTGATTGGTGGTGGGAGTGGTGTATTTACAGTACACAGGCGTTTGCATGTATTCATACATCTCTGAAGAGGGATTTCTGTGCCGCCAGTGGTGTATTATTCTGCTGCAATCTGTTACACAGCTACTTACTGTGACGAGCTACTGTGCCACGTCCGTCTGTTTTCCACATGCGACGCCTGGAAGAGCAGATTCTAAAACCTTTTATCTACACAAACTGTGTCAGTGGGGAGGAGTGACTCCTTAGGACACGTTTTTCCTTGTAATGGTCTATAACACTGTCTCTGGCATAAAAGAAGCTCTGGGTACTGATATTACCTGAGACACTGCAGCTTTATCATTCCTGCACTGACGTGGCAAGATCTTCATCCATGAAGACCTTTCTGCTGAATTCTCATTTTCAGTCAAGTTCGTTTGAAATGTTTAAAAATCAAGCAGGTAGAGAGAGAGAGAGAGAGAGAGAGAGAGTTCTCATCCAACTCACAGGATTCATCTTAATTATCTGACTGGTTGCAGTCGATTAAATCTGCCAGCAACGGTTTTTATTTCACCTGGAAAAACTGACGGTCGTTTGCAAAAACACAATGAATTTAGAATCTGCCACTATCGTTGCTGCAAATTGGAGACATGCTGAGCAATAATGAAGTCGTCAGGTCACCGATTTATGAAACGCACGAGTGTTTATTACTGCAGCAAAAAGTCGGCATTAATAAATGAATGCAATAAATCTGTTTACGGTAACCAGCATATGTGCTCAGAGTTAAATGATGATGTCGGGTACGACTGATATGAAGGAATTTCATAAAACCACGTTGTTGTTTTGCATATGAAAGAAACAGCAGGTATCCAGAGTTTTTCCACAGCTAAGCCGAGCGCAGCAGATAATCCTGAGCAGGGTGTTTGTAGACGATCGGTATCAGTCGCACGTTATCGCATGTTACATAATTAACACTTAATAATAGTTTAATGATTGTTTACCTCCCAGTGTAGCTGACAGCAGGAAGTGGGTGCCATACTTCCTGATCAGGTTGTCAGTGACCATCTGGGTGGTGGGCCGGCGGCCCAGGAGTCGGATGTTCCTGATGAACTCGGGCGTCAGAGGTAAAGGAGACTCCAGGAAATCTCTCCTTTCTACAGCCAGGTTGTTCACCTTCCATCTCCCAAACTCCCTGCACACAAACACCAGGGGAGAGATTAGTACACATACATCATAGTAAGAGTATCATAGGAGAATAAAAATGAAGTCATTTGTAATAACGGGAAGTTTAACAAAGCAAGTATTCAAAAAGAAAAAGTTGTTTCCTCGTCTCCTTTACTTTCTTACTGAAATTACAGCACATGAGCCTAAAGAGGCAAATTCACCCTCTCTGAATTTTATATGCAGCAATATCATATCATACATCCTGAGAGAGAGAGAGAGAGAGAGAGAGAGAGAGAGACGCATATTGAATCTATGTCACTCTCTGCTTCTGCAATGTAAGGAATCCCTGGACCGACGCTGACAGAGAGCGAACTCAAGTGAAAGTGAACTGATGGAGTGAGAGAGAAAAAGAAACAGATATCAAAAGTTGGGTTTCATTTGACATCATGACTGTCGCCTGGATCTGAAACGTGCTGGGACGACACAGATGACGGATACGTCCCCTCAACACGTCCGTCGTGTAAAAGATGGCGCAAAAAAATCAGGTCATTCCTCGAACGACGAATATTTTTATTAATGAGAAACAAATGGTGAAGAAAAGACTGAGAGCTTTCGTTGGAATTTTTCCTTTTCCCTCTTCTGACCTCTGACAACTAATACACCTGACCCCAGCGATGAGTGCAGCTTATATGAATCCCTAGTGCTTCACTGATTATAATCTGTGTCGCATATATAGCCAGACCTGTCTCCACAGCGCTGTGTCAGCACTGTGCAGCCATTATCATTCTGCTTTAACGCCGTGTCGGGTGGGAGGACATGTTTTGGTGGAACATTTGCACACGGGGAAGACGATCGCAGTCATTAGAATGGCTGATTCCTCACAGAAGACAGACGCAGTCGACTTTGCGAAGGCTCGATTTACTTCCTAAACAAAAACAAGCCATTTCCTGTTTGTACGTTTCCAGCTCCGCTCCTGTTGTGAAAGAGGGAATTGAAAACCAAGTGTAACAGGGCAGAAGCAGGAGGGGAGGAGGATCCCACGGCCAATGGCAGGCTCATACCCGCTGCCTACATCCGGTGATTCAAATATGTCTGGCCATGTTAATATGTGATTAGCACTGATAAGACATTGCTATTCAACGCAGCAGGAGGGGGAGAAGGAAATGAAGAACTTGAATAACGCTTTGAATCCTGCAAAAATACTTTTCCTCTTCCCCTATCTCCGTTTTACAGCTTTTTAAGCTCCTTTTGCTTTTCTACTTTCATGTAAAAAAAAAAAAAAACAGCACATGTTGAACGTTATTAGAGGAAATAAACAGACGAGTCAAACGCAGCTGAACTGCAGCAGAACTCGAGGAACCAATGGATACAACAGTTGGATCAATAAAGGCCGAGCTGGCTTCAGATATGCATTATTCCCCATGTGTTGGTAAAGCGTTTGCTCAAGGCGCAGCTTTCTGAGCTGATGCTTTTGGCAGAGCTTTGACTCAAGCGGTATACAAAGTTATTCTACTACCAGTTCAAGCTGTTGTACGGGAGATTTCCATGCAAAGTGTCCTTCACAGATACGTTTGTGCACTTTTCTCTCCCACAGCTCGACACTCACTCCAACAGGCGGAGCGCGCTGTGCGTCAAAATCAGCCTTCTCCGTGTTCCCTTTATCTGACGTTTGGCAAAACAGTTCAGATTTACGACTTGCACACGTTGAGTTTCAAGAGGAGAGGTTTGTGCGTTGTGTTGGAAAAGCTCTGCAAAGTCAAATAAGTCATTGGAGGGAGAGGTGCGCTGGCATATAATCGCAATATAATGAATTTTATTTTATGTGAAAGAAGCAAGGTGTTCATATTTCTCAAAATTAATTAGGAGCAGCAGCTACAACCACCGGGTTTTATTTCGAGCAATAAACTCAATGGTCAGGCCTCAGTCCTCGCCAGCATTTAGACGCATCCAGTGACATATGTGAGAAGTTTCTCAGCCATTTTAATAAAATATAATTAATAATACCAGGCTCCATTTCACACCCGCGCCCCGGAAGCTCATAATCTTTGCTGAATCCATTTGAACACAATTCACGTGAGTTTCTTTGTTCAAAAACACGAGTCAATCACACACTTTACATTCATGCACTTATCGATTAGATAATATCCCAACAAGATTTCTACAGGACGTGTGTCAGACCTCTTTTCAACCCCTTTTTTAGAAAAGTGCTCTCTCTCACATGAATCATATTATTTTTCACAGTTTTCCCTTCAGGATTTTGTGCCTGGTGCAGCACAGAAACAGCTTTTACTAAAGTGACTATCAGCCCTAATGCTCACTGCAGAATCTGCGGCTGACTTCTGCTGGATTCAAGTTTTGTATTTTATTCGGTTGACCGTGATATCATTACGAATAACCTTAAAAACTATTACACCAACTGCACCTGACATTCAAGTGGGCTTCGGGCGACTCTGTTGCGATCGGGTAGTGCTTGACTACATGAAGATGCAGGTGTGACTACAGCAAGAGAGCAGACTGTGATCCGATCAGACACATTGCAATTGAATTGAAAACACAAAAAGTAAATGTGTTGTAAATGCAGTGTTGTGAATCCACATTGCAACATCTATGCGGGTGGAAATAATAAATGCACATGACCAGCAGTTATGCAGTTACCAGGATCACTGACTCTAATCTGTGTCTCATCTCCAGCTTCTTCAAAAACTCCCTGCAGTTGTTTGCGTTACGCCCCACGATAATGTGGCCCTTTGAGGGGAACTACATGTAGAATCACTGAACACCACTGATAGGAATCACGATCAGAAAGCCTGTAAAGGTCCAGTGTGTGAGATTTAGGTGAAAGGGAACTATGGGACCCATCTCACTATCTCATGATGTGGACAAACTAAACACCTTTTGAGTTTTTGTGACAATTAAAGGCAACCACAAGTTCTTTTTCATGTTTGGAAGGAGAGGGTGAGGTGAAAATTCTACACACTGAATCTTTAAAACAGCAGAACTATGGGATTTATTATCATCATCATCATCAAACAACACAACACACACACACACAATGTTAAAACCCGAAGCTGAGGCCCAGCGGTCCCCACACTGGAAGCCTCCCTTCTGATCCTGACACAGGAGTTTTTAAAGAACCTCAGTCCACTGACCAGGTGCACCTCATTGATGACTGATTGGTTTAACCAGGGTGGAGCTAGAGGAGAGACGAGAGACAAACAGGAAACACAAACAGTACAGGGAACAGCCGTAACATTCGTAAATGAAAGACACTTTTTGCTTGTTGCTGCTGTGGAACTCCCTTAAACTTCATCCTACAAACTCAGAAACCGAATTAACCTTATTTGCCCCATCTGATCAGATCCTGTGTCTTCTTTGTAGATCTCATCTGTTTGTGTTTTTTTCATAGCAACTGTGTATATTATCTCGTTCTGTGTAGAAAATGAGAATGAAAACATTTTGAATTGATAGTTTATACTTGTGAAAATTAAGAAATCCTCCGCATTGACTTCCTGATCAATGAATGTTAACGACAGCAGCAGTTGGATCAGCAACTAAATCTGCAAACTAGAAAAATGCAGCCAGTGTAAGTGATGTTGGAGGAGGAGAGGTTTTTAATTTTGTCATTTAAGTTTTGATGAGACACTAATAAATGAACAGCTTTTAACAAGCATCGAGAGTGTGACGTTAATCACGAAAGAAACAAGGATGAAACTAATCCGTAACTTCTGGAACACACACACACGCACACACACGCTGTAATGTCAGTACCTCTGAAAGAGTTTCAACTAATATGCCACTTGCCCCGAGCAGGTGAGACGAGGAGCTGGACTCTGACCACCGGTAACCTGCTGTCATAACTGGATAAAAGAACTAACGGCCAAACTCCAGCAGAAGATCAAAAGTATGTTCACAGAAACGCTCGCTGGGGCCCAGGAGTTCCTCATCCGTACCTCCTCCTCGAGTTTAAAACCCCTGAAGCATCTTGTTCAGGAATCAGATTTTCTCTTTTTACTTTCCGCTAAAGTGATGGGATCCCACACGGTCACGCTACCCGCCAACATTTAGGTTATTTCACATGACAGATTTCTGTATTTGTGTTTTGTATGAGGTTTTCTCTCTGGACTGACTGATGTTAGATTCTCACACGTATATTGTCAATTCGGATGAGCAGAAAACAGAAGGTTAGAAATCAACACGGAGCAGAAGTCCTTCATTTCTCACGAGGTCACTTTAAATCACATTTAATATGTTTCCAGTGAAACACCTCTTGTAAACCTATAGCAATGACAAGTCCCTCATTTTCATTCGTGATAATATGTTTGTGTCAAGCCCCAGCACCTCTAGAGAAGGTGAATGAGACACTCGTCTATGGTTCTGCTTTGCCATTCTTAAAAACAGGTGCATGATGGGATATGTGATATACAGGTTATTTAGAAAAGCCATCTGTTCCTTATGTACGGAAAAAATAGTGTGAGAGCCACAGAACTCTGGAGAGGATTGTTAATAAGGTTTCCAGTTGGTGTTGGCTTCTTGCCGATTCTGTTTGTGATGTTCATGGACAGAATTTCAAAGTGCAGCGAGGGGAAGGGGAGCGTCCTGCTGCCTTTCTGCTTTTTTGCAGATGATGTTGCTCCGTTGGCTCCATTAAGCCGTGACCTCTGACTTGCACTGGGATGGTTTGCAGCCGAGTGTGAAGCAGCTGGAATGAGAGTCGAGACCTTACAAGTCCGAGGTATTCTTCGCAACGGACTGTTACACGGAGCCCGCGATTGACGGACGGATTGATTCAGCAGGAACATGGACGTTGAATTCGACTGTTCCAAAGAGGGAGCTGAGGCCAAAGCTTCCAATTCACCAGTTGATTTGCTGCCACGTATGTTTATGTATTCTTGGAAGTTGAGAACGATATTCGTGGATTCAAGCGACAGGGAGGCTCAGACTTAGA